ATATTTATTTATATTATACATATATATATATATATTTTACATATTTTTTTAATTAAGCATATATTTTTGTAATCTTCAGGTTTATACATACATATATGTTGATTGCTACGGGAGCTTATATACATATATATAATATACATATATACGAAATATATAAAATGTCAGCAATTCACTGGACTTTTCGCATATTCCAAACACAAAACTCAAATCAAAACCGGAATAGTCAGGCTACAGAGATTTCCATAAGAACAAAAAACAATAAGCTGACTTCCCTTATTCCATTCAGTAATTTCTCAATTGTTCTATTAATTTGGATAATAAGCGTGATATACAACTTGCAAATTGCAAATGCTGATCAAGGTGATCGATAACTTGCCACCCGATTTACTTTTGCTTTCATTACTGATGCTTTCTCTTCTTCTATTTAAAGTTGTGCTATTGGACACGACGAGAGAAGCCACTCTGGAATGGACTAGGTATCCATACGGTCCTCAGGCTCAGACTCCAGGCGTATGTATTTAAATTGAATTAAACCACTTTGACTTATTCACGAAAGTAGAGTATATTCGTTTTGTGCAATGTCCGACTTGCTGGCCGTCCGTATGACCGTCAACCATTTTGTCACTCTTGAAGTACGAGTACATAAATATATAAATTGTTAAAATTTCTCTGATACACGTACTAGGTGCGGACACATGGGAAAATGTTATTTCCAGTATTTAGAAGCCATGTTATTTAAAATGATAAAGGCTTGTGCCTACATCTCAAGATGTAGATATGGCGGAAATTTCTGTGACCATGTAGGACACTACCCTGAATTGCTTTTAAGGATTGTATTCTCTCTACTATCTACACATGCACATACGATTAAGTTACAGAATTGTCAATTGTCATTATCAATATCAACTTGTTTCAATTATTGTAAATTGATAAATTGATTATTAAGACAAATATATTTAAAATAACATAGTCTCAAGATAATGATTTAAGTTAAGTTAAAATGTAAGTATGATATTATACTAATTTTGGGTTCTTGAAGTGGGTCGAGGAATCATTCACAGATTTCGTAAAGGGCATCAACTGGCGCAGCTATGTGGTCTGTGATGTTGCATATCACAACGTTAACAATTGGCTATGGTCACCATTCATTGATCGCGGACCAGCTAATCGACTTTATATTGAAATACAGTTCACGATACGAGACTGCTCGCTATTTCCAGGTAATACACAAAAATACAAATACTCAAACGTTATAAAAAATATTTATATTGGAAATAGGAAATGCTTTGTCCTGTAAGGAAACGTTCAGTTTGCTGTTTTACGAATTCGATGCAGCAACACGTGAGCCACCGCCTTGGCAAACAGATAGCTACAAACTGATCGCTCGAATTGCGGCGGGAGAGGGGCGCTTTAATCAAAATTCCGATGTGGATATTAATACGGAAGTGAAAAGTATTGCTGTCAGCAAGAAAGGAGTTTATTTTGCATTTCGTGATCAAGGCGCTTGCATCAGTGTTTTGGCCGTTAAGGTCTATTACATAACATGCCCTGCGGTAACCGAAAACTTTGCTCATTTCAATGAAACGCCCACCGGAAGGGAGATAACAATAATTGAGAAACAGAACGGCACGTGCGTAGAAAATGCTGAGCCGTATGAGGCACCAACTTATTTATGTAAGGGCGATGGCAAATGGACAATACTAACAGGTGGCTGTCGTTGCAAAGTCGGCTACGAACCAAATGAAGTTAATAACACTTGCACAGGTAGGTCTATCATTAACAATACATGTGCCAGCAAATCGATACTTTTACAGAAAATTAATTTACAGAAATTAATTAAACTAATTCCCAATAAATACAGCTACGTATGAAGCATGGGAGACCTTGGCCCCATAGATCATAAAGTGTATATTTTTACCATTAAAAAACTAAATTTAACTTGGCTATTCGGACAATGGGAATCGATTTCGACATTGATGACTTATCGATATCGTCAAGGAATATAGTTATTGATACATTGCTCCATATAATTGTCTATTAATCAATCAAAATGGTCGAATAACCGACTCATTGCTCGGGTGTTTTCTCAGATGGGAGTCTAAGCATACAATTGTAAGCACACTAAGATTGTTGTTTTTCTCTTTCAGAATGTCCTGCTGGCACATTCCGCTCAGCTGAAGTACGGAAGTGTATATCATGTCCAGCCAATTCGAATAGTTCGAAAACCGGATCCCCGATGTGCAATTGTCTAGCAGGCTACTATAGGCATCCAGCCGATGGCAGACATATGCCGTGCTATAAGCCGCCAAACGCGCCAACGAATTTAACCCTATTATTTGTAGATCAAACCAGTGCAATTATATCATGGTCAGCACCAACAAGGGACGATAACCAGCTAGTAACCGCAAATGGTCTGGAGAAATATCGCACAGAAGTTGTGTACAAAGTGCGCTGCAGTAGCTGCAGCTCAAATGTTATGTTCAATCCGTCAACGGACACTTTTAATGAAACAAAAATCACACTCACTAATCTGGAACCAGCGACAACATATACAGTACAGGTCCATGCTGCGAATAGCATATCATATGTGGCCGATATCGGGCTTTATTATAATTTAACCTATTCGAGCAGTGATAATGCGTTAAGCAATACTTCAAGCTTTTCAAATATTAACGGCCACCAGCTTGATCTTAGTGAAGTTGAGACAAAATATGCTGAAATTGTATTTACCACCGAGTCCGCAATGCTCTCGACTGTGTTCAATTTAAGAGTGGTTGCCATAACTAACAAAGAAGCGAGTCTAGTTTGGGATAAACCAGGGCAGACTGATGCACCGATTGAACTATATGAAGTACGCTGGTTTCCCAAATCCGAAATGGAGACTATCAATAACACCACATTGAGCACTAAGGAAACAAAAGCACTTATTTATAACCTACTGGAAAATACTGAATACGGCTTCCAAGTACGTTGTAAAACAGTAAATGGTTTTGGTGCGTATAGCAACATGGTGTATGCCCAGACACATCAATCTGTTGGTACAGGTAACTATTGCTCTAACTATGCGTAATCGTAGTCATCGAGTGGATAATCGTAAAATGTACTCCTTCAAAAATTCTTCATCAGTAATTAATTATAGAGATGAAATCGGGCAGGTGCAAATATAGACGTAGTTAATAAAACACTGCTTCCAATTGTTAGACATATGTGTATAATCTGTGAATATTATCTATGTCAAGTGCTCAATCTGGAGCATTTCGTTAGCATTTGAAAATTGACAAATTTCTAGGCACTATTTATCCATTTCTGATTATGAAACCCTTTTTCTTTGAATGAAAAGAGATAATTAATATGATATAATGACATCGACTAACCACTCATATTACCATTTCCTGCTTCAGAAGAGGTCTGAAGATATTACGCCAAAATTGCAGACAAAAGTGAGGATTGCGTCATGGCCAGAGTTAAGTTCTAACTGTAGATCAGATAGTGTTCGGCATAGTTGCAGTAGGATAGAGAAGTTAGGGAAGTGTATACCATTGGAAGTATTCATGTTGTCTCCTTTTGAAGTAGCTCAGATTTGATCGGGCACTCTTACTTGTCGCTTATCCGATCGCAGTTTTCTTTAGTTGCTGCTGAGTTGACTGCTCCATAAGAAGTCTCCTTCACGCATAAATATTTTACCATTGTCATCCACTCTATATTCATAGTTTACGAGGATTCAATGCAAATACGATTTATTGCTGGAGCCATTGTGACTGGCGTGTTCTTCCTGGTCATCTTTATTGTCGCTACTGTCTATTTTATGAGGTCTAAACATCAAGATGAGCTTGACAAGAAGTCCACTAACCACCTGCCGTTACCCATGGAATACGCAAGTAATGAAGGTAATTATCATAATACATGCAAAAGAAGTCAACCAATTTATTTTTTATTTAAAGATCGATAACTATAAAGAAAATAGATAATATGGTTGTGATCATTTTCTACATTGCTACTTAATATAAATAGAATAATTTTGTATGTCCTTGACAGTGGGACTATATAAATAAGATACTTTTGATCTGTCTGGCTTTTCGCTAGTAGCAGATTCCCAAATCTTCTTGAGATATACATCTGGAATATTTTTTGTTTTTACGTCGTTCCAAGCTTTTTCTTCGCATATTCTATTGTGTTTTGCAGTCCATTAAAACTATAGAAATACTGTTTCTTAATAGCTGTTTCCATTCGATCGGCACCTATAATGCATACAAGTGAGGAGAATAAATTTTATTTTAGATTGTAGTTTGTAGGTAAACCCAGTTTTAAAAACCTTTTAAATATTATGAACTCTGAATAATCAAAATGTTAATTGTTTATTATATCCCTATCCTTTATATTATAACCAAACCCGAAACTCTTTTTAAGGACTCGTTGTGACATATAGTAAGTTTTTTCCCACAAACAATTCTTGCTCCGAAAGTGAGAAATTAATATTAGTAAAATTAAAATTAATATTAAAAGCTTTTATTTTTCCTTAATAATTATTTTGTTTTGCATTTGTGTTATTTAATTTTGAAATATACTTTTGTTGAACTGGCGATAAAATGTGTTTAAAATTTTATCTTTCCTTTTAGTAAATGCCATGGATACTACTCCAATAGTCAAGACTCTACATTCGAATGGTATATAATTTATTTATGTGTTGATTTTATGGTTGTGGGAAGCTATTTAGGTTTTTCAAGTTATTTTCTTTTTGTAAAATTATTAACCAATAATTTTATTTACATATTTCCTAGCTAATTTAGAACATATTTCAACTTGTTTGTAATTCATTTCAATACTTTTTCTTTCAGTGACGACTCCTTTATTTGGTAATAGTCGCAGTTACGTTGATCCGCACACCTATGAGGATCCTAACCAAGCAATCAGAGAATTTGCTCGTGAAATCGATGCAAATTACATTACAATCGAGGCGATAATTGGTAAAAAAAAATAACAAACAAATAAAAAGAAACTAATTTCATTCAAAAAACATATTTATTTATTTAGGTGGTGGAGAATTCGGAGATGTGTGCCGTGGTCGTCTTAAAATTCCTCCAAATTTTGTCCAGGACATTGACGTGGCAATCAAAACCTTGAAGCCAGGTACCATATATATTGTACAACTCGTGATTAAATTTGATTGTTTTTATACTTACTTTCGTGCAATGATTGCTCTCCGTCCGTCTGTGCGCATGACGGAAACCTTAGGCTTGAAATTTGGAACATATACGTTGAAATTTTGCACGCCCACTAGGGTAAATCTTATCTGAATATATCGGGTGATGGGCTGTGAATGTGTATTCTTTTCTTACTTGTTTATTCAATATTTTAGCGATAGTGTTTGTAGCCTGCAAAAAAGCGCGGGATAGGCTCCATACGGATTATCTATTGATAATTGAGATCTAAGCCATAAAAACTAGAAATTTGAAATTTTATAATTTTACGATATATTTTCGACAACAATCATCGATGACAATAATCGATCATTTTACTTCGCACTTCATTTACTTACGCACTTTTATATTGATATTAGATGGGTTTGTGGAATATGACATAAACTGACTTGACAGAAAATTTAGTAGAAATGCAAGGACATATTCTTGGTTAGATTCCAGTAGCTAATGCATATCTGTATCTGTTCTTCTCAGGGTCTTCAGAGAAGGCGCGTTGCGATTTTCTAACTGAGGCTTCTATAATGGGTCAATTCGATCATCCGAACGTCATATACCTGCAAGGCGTCGTAACGCGCTCCAATCCGGTGATGATTATAACCGAATATATGGAAAACGGCAGCCTGGACACATTTTTGCGTGTCAACGATGGAAAATTTCAAACTCTGCAGCTCATTGTGATGCTCCGGGGTATTGCTAGCGGCATGTCCTATCTAAGTGACATGAATTACGTCCATCGGGATTTGGCGGCTCGCAATGTTCTCGTCAATGCTCAACTAATCTGCAAAATAGCCGATTTTGGTTTATCGCGTGAAATCGAAAATGCTAGCGATGCCTATACCACTCGGGTAAGTGCTTATACCCGACTCGTCGTGGCTTTTTATACCTTGAACCCATTGAAAATGGGAAATCAGGGAATAATGGTTTTGTCAAATGTATGTAACAAGCAGAAGGAGGCGTGGCGTGGTATATATATTCTTGATCAGGGCGACGAGCTGAGTCGATTTAGCTCTATCCGTCTGTGCGTCCGTCCGTCTGTCCGCATATTTGAACGCGTCGATCTCAGAAGATATAAGAACTAGAGACTTGAAATTTTTTTCCTAGGTCCGTGTATATCGAGTTTTGCTTTAAATATCGATAAATTGCCCCGTTATTTTGTTATCGATTAAAAACATTATCGAAAACCAGTAATAAATTTATATCTCCTACATCTTTAAAGCTAGAGTCTCCAAATTTTAAATGTATACTTACATGCATTTTATACAATTTCAAAATTTACCCCCCACCCCTGATTCACCCCCTCACCCTGACATTTGTAAAAGGCGTATTTCAAATACTAGCACGAGAGACTTGTGCTTTGACAAATACAGTCGAGTCTCGATAATTCCTACCCCGCTAAATCGAAAACCTCAATCTTGCCTGTTACATATTTTTAACAAAACCATTATACCCTGATTTCCTATTTTCAATGGGTTCAGGGTATAAAAACCCCTTCAATTCGTATTTTGATTTCTTAATCCCCTTTAAATGGAAACCTTGGTAAATCGAAAACCTCTATAATTCGTAAAAAATTCGGTTCCCTTACCATTACGAATTATCGAGACTCGACTGTACATGCATATCTATGTTATAATCATAATCTGAAAGTTTCATGAAGATAGTCCATCCACAAGAAAAGTTATTAAACAATTAACTTCCCATAGTAGGCACCACTGCAGCCAATGCGTGTTTATGCGTGTGTGTGTGCATGTGTGAATAATTATTGAAATATCAGTTGCTCGAAGGTTTCAGGGGATCTCGTAGTCGGGCAGTCTCGACTACAGGTTTCTTACTTGTTAGTATGTACATATATTAGATTGTTAGCGCACACAAATATTGCTAAGGTAGCAGCACGACATTGCCATACCTTAAGTTACGCCGAAAAGCCCAAATCAAACTATCGACCGCTATCGAATATAATAATATGAGCTTTCGTAAGTTAAATCGATGCATTCGTTGCTGTGCTTATTTAACCATAAAACTATATTTCTCGCCTGCATTATTTATTTTTTATTTGTCCACTTACAATTTTTTCCTCGCCGAAAAAACAATAAAAATCGAAATTCTTTAAAATACATATGAGCCTACATTTAAAATTAGGAAACTTTAGCTCTAAAGGTGTAGGAGATATAATTAAATAACTAATTTTAGATAATCGATAACAAAATATCTGGACTAGTTATCAATTTTTTGAGAAAAACTCGATATGTTCGTGATATACACGAACCTAGGATTCAAGTCTCTAGCTCTTATGTATATCTTCTGAGATCGACGCGTTTATACATACGGTCATGAGGATATATTATAAATGAATGGGGGTGGTATAAAGCTTCAAACATATTTGCTAGTCGGGCTCTCCTAATTTAATTCCTCTCGTTTACTTAACAGGGAGGTAAAATACCAGTACGTTGGACCGCGCCGGAAGCAATTGCGTTTCGTAAATTTACATCAGCATCAGACGTTTGGTCTTATGGAGTCGTTTTATGGGAAGTTATGTCTTATGGCGAACGTCCCTATTGGAATTGGTCGAATCAAGTAAGCGTAAAGTAAATTGTTTTTATGAATGACTAATTAAAACGATGAATCTATAACTTGCTTCCAATTAGGATGTCATAAAGAGCATTGAGAAGGGCTATCGTTTGCCAGCACCAATGGATTGCCCGGAGGCATTATATCAGCTAATGCTGGATTGCTGGCAAAAGCAACGAACACATCGCCCCACATTTGCCAGCATTGTGTCTACTTTGGACAACTTGGCTAGGCAGCCACAATCGTTGTTAACGACGCGAAATTCTCCAGAAAATGATAGCAGTACACATATTTTGGATGCACAACGTGGTCATAACATATTTATAAGCACTGATCTATGGCTGGAGAATATCAAAATGTCTAGATACAGTCAACACTTTAGAGAGGCTAACTTAGTGAGTGCTCAACAGGTACGTCTATTGTGCTCCTTTGTATCGCTATCCCATGTTCTTTTCAATACTTTCTTATTATTTTTATATTTGTAGATCTCAAGATTAACAGCTCAGTTGCTATCGGATATGGGTATAACATTAGTAGGGCATCAAAAAAAGATTTTACATCAAGCACGGCAGCTGGATACAATAATATAATCATCATAATCATAATATATATATATGTATATATATATATATATATATATATATCATTTTTTCATTTATTTTATAAAATATAGTATAAACTCAGTTGTAATTGCAGAGTCAAAATCTTACTAAATATATGGTTCATGACATAAGAAGATAACAACACAAGTTAAAGGTTTTGACTCTGTATATATACATTTATAGCATTAACACAGTTGAGATTGCAGAGTCATAACCTTAAAGTTGTGTTACATATACAAAACAAATGATACAAGACAAAAAAGATATAAATTATATACATATATAGTAAGGTACATTTTGTAGTTTATTAACTATAAGTTTATATGCATATATCTTAAGGCTGCTACCGCAAATTTTGCAATTTTTTTCAATAGCAATGCAAAATGTTCTGTTAACATATTTATATTTTGCCGCAATAACCATTGATTCGCGAACGAAAATTCAAAAATAATGTTTGATGACGACATACACGCGTTTACGTTTCACTCAATATAACGGTATACGCAGCAGTCATTTAACAGTAGTATGCGCACATAAATATATATATATATATATATATATATATATATATATATATATTTATATTTATATGTATATATATAACGTCCAAATCAAAATGAAAAGCAAAAAACAGAATAAACTAGAAATACAAAAATGAGATAAAAACAAAACCATTATACCCTGATTTCCCATTTTCAATGGGTTCAGTGTATAAAAATATTCTTATATTCTTTAAGTTACACAGACATATACATATAGACATACACACGCCGCATACATATGCCTTGTACCTCTTGAGGCTGAAATTGATTTAATTTCTTTAATATATTAACACTTGTAAACATATGCGCGCATATAGAATATATATATTCAGCATTTATTGTAGATTGGTTTAAATCTTGAGGTTAAGGTTTTGGACTTTAACAAGTATTATTTATACATTGCATACCCATGTATTTATTTGTAGCATCATTTATTTTTACAAATTGTTCACAAAATATAAAGGAACCGAAAATTCAATAAAAGAAACAATAAACATCATTCTGGTATAAAATATATAGAAGATGTCATCTAAAATACATCTTTTTGGAGCTTAATAGCTAGAGAGTAGTGCTGGGCGCAACATCGATGTTTCAAATAATATGGGAAATCTCTGTTTTTTTTTGTTCGATGTTTTGTAAAAATGTTACCTCCACTAAATTTACTGGTTTAATAGAACTATTTCTAAACATCTCAACTGAGTTAACTGAGTCAATTGAGTTAAGCAGAAAATGTGCTGTGAGCTAAAAGTACTAAATAATATGTATGCGTCTCAGGTCTACTGAGAGTGAGAGGATTTTCAACCAAGCTGGACTTCGTGTTAGCGAAAATTGAAGCTCGCAAAAATCCAAAAATGTTGACATGCTAGTATTCATCAACAAAAAAGATCAAATGAGCCCTCTTAGAATATTGGAAGGTAAAGTTTCCCATACTTATATTAATTTTAAACAATGATGTTAATTGTAGATCTTAAAATACGATACTTCATTCTGTTTTTGTTTATTTTTTATTTTTATACCCTGAACCCATTTTCAATGGGAAATCAGGGTATAATGGTTTTGTTAAATGTATATAACAGGTAGAAGGAGGCGTGGCAAGCCCAATAAAGTACAGTAGAATCCGGTTATAGCGACGCTCAAGGGACCGTCGATTATTACGTCGCTATACCCGGAAGACGCTTTAACCAGAAAGAGAAAAAAAAATTTTTGCTTTTTTTTTTACAGTTACCATGTTCGTAATAGCTTTTACTATAAAACAATTTAAATTTTTAATCAAAACAAACATTTTTTATAAACTTCTTTCAATAACATGGTTTAGAAACATTTTTGTGACGTCGCATTGTACTTTGTCTCTCTCCAGTGTTGTCGTTTTATCCTTTTTGCGGACAGATCTATCCTTTTTAAAATAGTAATTGCCGGAAAATTTTTGAAACGTCCCCTGTCCTGAAGAAATTCGTTTTTTTTTAATTTTAGCCTTTTTTATCCTTTTTAAATATTTCTGAGTCGCATATACAATTTGTTATTTTGAACTGCATGGCATCGCTTGAAAATTGATTTTTTGGCTTCACCCATCACTTTTCAATGCGATGCAGCCCTGTTCAAAAACGTGTAATCGATATCAGACCTATCGAATATTGCTTATTTTCGTTATAATTTTTGAATCTCGATCATGCCAAAATAAATTTATAAACAAAAGTTCCGCGATTCGTGGATGAACGAATCGGAATTAAAGAATTGGATGTGTCGGGATGCCAAGGACCCCGACAAGGCAT